GCCTCCTTCTCCAATCTCTTCTCCTACTTCATAAATTTCATCAAACGGAACTGCAAAAATATAAGTTACCAAAGGAACATGTTAATATATGAGATTCACAGTCTTACATGAAGCCCAATAGCAGTGCTTGAATAAATATACACATCCAGTGCACATCAGCTCTACGGAGACTAAATATGGTCAATGTCTGAGACAAACGCTGCATCTGAAATTGAATACAAAGTAGGTTTAAATTCAAATGTAGCACCTACTCAGTATGAGATTTCAGACGCACTGTAAGTGAAAGTAAAACAGCAGGATTCTTTCAATTTCTTTACAACTATAATTCTTTAAATACACAATCAGGAAAATGCTACTTGGTCAGGAGTACTAGATTTATCATTTGCGTTTGAATTATTTTAGATGGAATTAGACATACGCATATAAACACACAGACTTACTAGGGTAACTAGACACAGGTTTAAAACAATCCGTGGAGGAGCAAGAAAAGGTTAACAAGTGGAAAAAGACTCACCAGGAGTTGGATCAGTGAAACAGGCTGCTCTGAAACGGGTTTGATCTCCGATTCGTCTATGCTTGGAAGCACCTGGAAAGGACAACTCAAGAACGGATTGATCAGGCCGAGGATCAGCTGGATCCTGCAGAGCCATCGACTCAAGGACGGACTGATCCGGCCGAGGATCAACTGGATCCTGCAGAGCCATCGACTCAAGGACGGACTGATCTGGCTGAGGATCAGCCGGATCCTGCGGAGCCGTTGGTTCAAGGACAGATGGATCTGGCTGAGGATCAGCTGAATATGTGTCGGGCTGTGGATAAAGAGGAGCCACTTTGTGCTTTTCGCTTGGTTTTGTTGCACATTTTACAGCCCACCACATTCTTTTGAAGAACGCACAGATGTGTTTCTTCTTCACATTTGTTTGATTCTCTAAAAAATAAATAATAATAATAATAATGGAGAAAGGTCACATATATGTGAAACACTGTTAAATATATTGAAATATATTTTGAAAATATATTTAAAAAATGCATAGAGCATAAAGCTCATGCTGCGTGTTTAATTATGTGTTTATGTGAAATTATATTCATGCCTCATATGATGTATTTTTAATCATTGCGTTTTTGCAATGCAGCCTAATGTTATTTCTACACTATAGGTTTACGGTTTTAAAGCTATATTATATTATAGTAGTATATATATATATATATACAGTGGCGTAACTTTGCTTTGAAAATTAGTGGGGACACCGCTTTTTGCTAGTTTTTCATTTAATAAGCTAATTTACTTGGGGACTGGGTTTAGAGTTGAACAAACTTAATTTTTGCTTTTCAAAAATACATCGATGTACCAGAGGGGCGGCGCCAGAGAATTGTGAACACAGGTGCCGAGGGGGTACTAGATCACTGACAGAGGGAGCTGGGCAAGTCAGGGCTCCAGACTCATTCTTCCCACTGCTCGCTCTTTTGCGATTAACTTTCTCAGTTGGATGCAGGAGCATGTTTTTTTTTTTGCGCTACAACATGCTGTTAATCAATGCACGCTGATTAACTTTTATGGTAGTTTATAGTTATATGGAAACGAAAGTAGTTAACATTCAACCCGTTCTTTTTCATCAGTAGTATTATTTGTGATTTGAATTTTGTGAACGGGAGTTCCTCTTTTGACACGTTATAAGCCGTGCTTCAGATGCTTTCACTTTCGATTTCACGATCTTGTCAGGTTTTACAATAAAATATATTGTCTGTTTAGCTTACATCGATACACCTTTCACCTTTTAAGACAAAAAAAAGATGGATTCATATAATTAAAATGCACAACAACAATAAAACAGTATTCAATGACAAACTAGCTTACAAAATGTTATTAACAAAAACGAATAAGATGAGGCATGGCATAGGCCTACACGCTGTATTAGGCTATATAATTACTAATAAATTACAGAACGTGTAGCAAACACTGAGGAATAAAAAAAAGAGAGAGAGAGAGCCTGGAAGCCCGTTTCCGCCACTGAATAAAAAAAAGGTAATTGCGACTTTTTATCTCACAATTCTGACTTTTTTTTCTCGCAATTGCGAGTTTATATCTCTCAATTATGACTTTTTAACTCGAAAAAAACGTCTCTGGTTTAAGAAGCGGTCTTTTACTTGACTCAAGCGTGAAAACCATCAATATTCGCCTCATTTTTGCTGAGCGCACTTTCTGCAATTAATAGTAAATATAACCAAAACAGGTCATTATAATTTTTATATGAATAATAAAATAAATATAAGGAAAACTCGCCCACTCGATTTTGTAATATTCTTTAATTTTGTAGTCCGTATGAAAGGTGCATTTCTATTAAAGGCACGTCCATGTGGAGATGGCGAGTCAGCATTCGGCAACCTCATCTTTGCACCAGACACTGACTCAGAAAGCACTAGTTTATTAATAAATAATTAAAATGTCTTCTGTTACCCCGATACGCTCATAATCACTTTGCCGGTGCTTTGAGGCAATTGCTTTATGCGCGAGCGTGAGCGCCTAATACGTCTGCCTATAGCCTATATTGAAGTATGGCTCTTATAAATGATATATTTAATAATTAATATATTATTATATTAATCAATTTAATATAACGTGCGACTAGTTGACTAGAAAAATCTTTAGTAGAGGGCAGGCCTATAGCACAAGGAAGCTCTCCATTTTTAAAATAAAAATGCTATAATGGCATTACGAAAAGTGCGACAGCTGCAAATCACGTCGTTATTGCACTGAACGAGTTATGCATGCGTAAGGAGTCAAATGTTTTGTTTTTATCACCCTAATTGGATTATGAAGAATGGTTTGTTGATCTTGTTTTCCGTTTAATACATAGCCTACCTTCCACAATATATTTTTCAATTACTTTCAAATAGTGGTGGGGACAATATCGACCCTGGCAAAAAGTGGTGGGGACATGTCTCACCCGTCCCACCCACAAATTGGCCCTATGTATATATATATATATATGACTTCAAACAATGTTTTGCAATACTGCATATATATTCTCAATGAATTTACAGTTTGAGGTAGGTCTACTATACACTTAAACAATACGTGATCAAGTTTCATGCCATTCTATCTGACTTTGTGCTATTTCTGTAAACGCTGGTCACTGACGCGTCGCGCGCGATGAACATTCCAGTCGCATTCAAACTGGAGCGGAGGGAGTTGCAGTGGAAACGGGGCGCCAACTCCGCTGACAAGTATTTCACTGTTTTCACTGCTTTAGGTAAGTGTAGTCACTAAAATCAGACAAATAATACATACAACTCTTCCTGACATTTCTTACTTTTAACTGACACGTTTCTGGTCACTATTTACTTTACGGAAACGGTTTAGTGTCTTCGGAAAAAGACCGTTAGCATCACAACCGTTAACCAATAGAGTTGAGCTGTTATTAATGAAAGTTTGGGCTTTTAATCACATCTTGTGTGTAGATGAGCGGTTTTGATAGCTTTGTAAATGTTTTGCTGGTATTTTGTCAAATGGAAGTAAGCTTGTAAACAAATATCGATAAAAATTGTACTGTGATTTCAGGAGCGTCAGAAAAATCCTCTAAAACAGAGGGGAAGTTCCAAGAACATTTCTAATGGGAGCTGCTGACAGAGATATAGGAGACACAGGTAATCTGAGAAAGCTTATTAAATAACTTTATATGCCTCTTTCACAATATATCATCATACATCTGTAAAATCTAAAAATGTGAATTCTGGTATCTTAAAGGGTTAGTTCACCCAAAAATGGTAATTAGCTTGTGTTTTACTCACCCTCGAGGCATCCTAGGTGTATATGACTTTCTTCTTTCAGACGAATCCAGTCAGAGTTATATTAAAAATGGTCCTGGCTATTCCAAGCTCCATCATTGCAGTCAGCGGGTGTTGCAGTTGAACAGTCCACAAGTCGTCAAATAAAGCGCGTGCATCCATAATAAAACGTGTTTCACGCGGCTCCGGGGGGTGAATAAAAGCCTTCTGTAGTGAAGCCATGCGTTTTTGTAAGAAAAATATCCAAAAAAAATGTCGCTACAGGACACCTTTATTCACCCCCCGGAGCCGTGTGAAACACGTTTACATTATAAATGCGCACACTTTATTTGACAACTTGTGGGCTGATCAACTGCAACACCCGCTGACTGCAATGACTGAGTTTGGAATAGCCAGGACCATTTTTAATATAACTTAGGGCTGGACGATATGGCCAAAATTGATATCACGATATATTTCTTCATATTCTTCATATAATTCCGATATCGATATGAACACTATTTATTTGAAATAGAAATCTTTTGTAACATTATAAATGCCTTTATCATCACTTTTGATCAATTTTAAGCATCCTTGCTAAATAAAAGTATTAATTTCTATAATTTCTTTCCCAAAAAATTTATAAAAATGATACTGAATGGAATAGTGTATAATGTTACAAAAGCTTTTTATTTCAGATAAATGCTGATCTTTGGATCTTTCTATTCATCAAAGAATCCTGAAAAAAAAATTACTCAACGGTTTTAAATATTGATAATCAGCAAATCAGCATATCAGAATGATTTATGAAGGATCATGTGACACTGAAGACTGGAGTAATGATGCTGGAAATTTAGCTTTGATCACAGCAATAAATTACATTTTAAAATCTATTAAAATATAAAGCAATTTTAAATAGTAAAAATATTTCAACATTTTACTGTTTTTGCTGTACTTTGGATCAAATAAATGCAGCCTTGGTGAGCAGAAGAGAATTCTT